TGCCAGCGGAATGTTCAGGAATGTACCAAGTCCGACTCTGTAAATTCTCATGCTACAATTTGAACTCCGGGCAAGGTGTGTTCCTCTAGATGTTCCTGTTAATATGACGAAGTTGCGAACACCAGGTCAAACAAATTCTATATAACGTGATTTATTTGGTTTATGTTATAAGTTAATTTAAAAGCATTTGCGCGCGTCTGTTTTTATGTGTTTATGTGGCTATATGAGTAAGTTTTCGTATAAAGCCAACATTGATGTCTCGAGGCAATAGGAATAAAACATCGCATCTGTCCTCAGTTGTGAATGTTCAATGACCCTCCTCTCCCCCCTTTACTTATACTTTAAGTATCGTTTCAATTGCGTAATGTTGGATATATGGCTGGCTAATTATGATGAGTTTTTTATCTGCTTACGAGGAAACAGGAGGCCAGATAAACCCACCCTTTTCTGTAGATAAAAGGAGTAGCTGGATTTTGATGAATATTTCAAAGTAGCATTATTGTGGAGACTTTCATTTCGTATGAAACTGATCACACAAGGAGACGACTGTTGGTTTTTGTTGTTCTGTAGCCATTTGGCTTTGATATGACGTTCAGGTAGAAGCAGTCCTTCAAAACATCCTCCCTCGTTTTGAGTGAGACCAAGGACAACAGAAATCGAACCTAGTCTTCTGGTGAGATCGACCACGAATATCTTCGTTGTGAAAAGTCAGACGGGGTGACAGCCAACTAGTTTTTGTGATTCATTGGCTTAAAGAGGTATTGAAGGAAGGATGCTCTGCTCGCATGACGACGGTCATATGATAGACGAAAGTATAATATGTTTTCTCCAAAATTAAAGGAGACTGTCTCAGTGACTAGAATATCCCAGTAGGGATAAACGGTGTTTTGTTGATAGGCCTTCGAATCGAGATGGACTTGAGCTCGAAAGTTCACGAGTGAAAGTAAGCTTTTTAACAAGATGGTCTCTCTAGAGCCAAGGAAAAGGGCTGCTGCCCATTTCGACTCACCTAAACTGGGCAATCCCCAAATGTACACTCGAAGCTGTGCTCTTTTGCTCAATAGACCCGAGTGCCTGCTTGGCCCATTCAACATACTCCACAAGTAACACAAGCCACCAAAAGCCCCGCCTTGAACCGACTGACCGTAGTCCCATCTCTTCTAATCGCCCCTAAACGAGCACTCACTTGTTTGCCGCAAAGTACACTTAGCCGTAGCCAAGTGCCAATCAGCAATGCCTGCCCCTCTTGACGAGTAAATTGCCACTTGAGCTCATCGTTCTTCTTCACCGGCTGGGGGAGCTGTACCATCGGCCTGCTTTCTGTCACTAGGAGAGTCGCTTAATCGTCCAATTCAGTTCATCTCCATTCAACAGGGCCAAATGGAGCTCGTTCCGCCGGGTCATGTTTCAAATCCACCTGACACACAATTTGGAGCGAGGATGTCTGCAACCAAGGAGTCTGTCAATCAACTTTACTAGTCTAAAAAATAGCCTTCAATTAGGCATGTTGATAAATCCAGAGGACCTAAACCCTTTTCTACTGTACCAAAATTTAGATTGGAGTGTATCTGGTCAAGATTGGGACATGAAGTCAAGGTGACAATTAAATTGGCTAAGGAACTCAAGCGAAAGCCAACAGAAGCAGCAGAATTTAGGATGAAACTTTGTCCACGCAAATACGACTTAATCCCTCCGCTGAATTTCGCTTTACCGGCAGAGGTGGACAACAATGCTGAGCTCGCCCTGTTCAACATCTTTCCCGTCTCAAAGCGCGCTAGTAAAGTGGTCCCGGTTCCGAGGAGGACCTTAGTTCCGGCTTAAGACGGGATCACATTCCCTCTGCCCCCAAACGATCAAATTGCCGCAGTTAGCCAACTGGGTCGTCAAGGAAAGCTTGAAGCATAAAGCTATCCTCAAACTAAAGTCTCAAATCATTGAAATGGATAATAAATAATAAAAAAATTGAGATAATAAAATAATTATATTATAAAATGCCACAATGATACAAGTTTTAAATTAGTAAATTATGATAGTCAATTAATAATTAAATAGTGAGTTAACTTAATACTGAAAGAAGGAAATAATAAAATTATGAAATAAATAAAAAAATAAGAATAACAGAAGAATATAATTATGAAATAAAAGAATAATGAATGATGGAGAATTAAAGATTGAAATGATTTAATACATCGTAGATACGAAGAGAAACTTGGTTTCGATGAATCCCCTGAGATAACATTGTTGGAGGAACCTTCATTTCGTATGAAAGTACATGATGAAGAGATTCGTTGGTTGATCTCACCAGATGAGGACGGATGAACCTAGTTGTACTGCAGCCGTTTGGTTTGTATACGATATTCATTTTGACGCAGTCCACGAAACATCCTCCCTCGTCTCGGGTGAAAACGGGCGGAGTTTTCGTCCATCAAAGGATCGACATCATCAGAGCTGGGCGTCATTCTTGTAAAAGTCAAACGTTAGCACAAGGCCAAGAAGTATGTTAACATTTGAATTTTACAAAAATGACGCCCAGCTCTGATAATGTCCATCGAATGATGGACGCAAGCTCAGCACGTTTTTACCCGAAACGAGGGAGGATGTCTCAACATGAATATCGTATACAAAACAAATGGCTGCAGTACAACGAGGTTCATCCGTCGTCATCTG